AGTATTTATCCATGGCAGATGTCATGAAGAAAGAGGCACATGCATATATAAAAAATAATATGTGAGGACTACTGTTCCTTCTTCTAAAAAGGGGGGAAATGCTTCGGAATCATATAGACTGAAGAAACTGATTGAACATCAGTCCTCGGTGCAGAATTTATCTAATCTTATCTTCATGCAACAATGCCATTTTTCTGCTGATCAAATTAACTATTCTTAATGCTCCCCATGGGATTCATTTTTGGGATCTGGAAAATAAAATTAAATTAAATATACTGGCCAGTCACTATACTTCAAGTAGTCCAAGTTCCAAAGCTGCTTACATGAATTTTCCCAGGTGGGGCAAAATTTCAGAATGGTGTGTTATTTATGTGTACAGCACATTCCACTACAACACACTGCATCTGTCTGTCTACATTACAGTAACAAAGAAATATAAGGTTCCTGGCAGACTGAGGCACCAATGAGTCTAGATGTGTTTCATGACTCTTTAATGAGATAAATGGATGAAATCTACATCTTGATGTCACAACTGGCTTAATCTGCATAGGAATATCTTTAAATACAAAGCAAATGAGAAACTGACCGACCCTCCCACCATAATCAGTAAATACAATATCTTATTTCATGTTTCTAGAGCAAGTAATTGATCAGTGACGAACATTTATTGTTGATCTCAAAAAGAGTTACTGATCATACAGATGACTTCATTTAGATGGCTAAAATGAAGGATATAATTAATATTTGTACATCCTCTCAGCCCCAGTGAGAAAGGGTATCTCAACACATTGAGATACTTAGTGGGGGTGGGGGGTGGGAATTCAACCTATATCAGGTTTCTCACTTCTGCATCAGAGTGAAAAGATCAGCATGTTGCTTTTTTTGCCAGTAGTAACATTAGCAAAAAAATGGAGGATGGTTCAAACTAAAACAAACAAACAAACAAACAAACAACAGCATGTAGTAAGAAACAAGTTTTGTTAGTTTGTGCAAACTGCAAGGTGTGTGTGTGTGTTGTTGTTGTTGCACAGAAAATTTTTGGGCAGGTGTGTGTGTGTTGTTGTTGTTGTTGTTGCACAAAATATTTTTGGGCTGAAACCACTTCAGCAAATTATTTGGGAGGGAGGAAGTATGAAATGTGAGCACGCACAAGCCCTTCATAATTTGCCCAGTGGAATGAACGTATTTGACATATACTTCGGTTCCCATCTGTGAGAACTAATTAAGCAAAGATTTATGTCCTAACAAACACTCAGTACTGTACTTGAATTTGTCCTATTTCCTCCATAGAAGCTTGTATTTGAAAAACGGCCCTTCCCTGCCAAAGTGAGTTCTCAGGAGATGGTGGCTAACAAGACTCTTGGCTATGAAGTATTAACTGAATACTCAGCTCAAGACATTGAAACAGAAGGTTTTCCAGACTCTCTACTGTACATTGTCAAATAAGACATTTGACACAAATGAGAGGTTTGGCGAGAGAGTCTCTTAAGTGATGACATATGCCTATGAACTGGTGGTAGAGATAAGGCAACATGAAAAAGGCTGATGGGAAAATGAAGGAAAAGACCTATGGACAGTTTCTGATCATTACACAAAAACGCCTAAGTATCTGTCCAATCAGAATTTAATTTAAATTTAAATTGATGCATTTATCCAATAAATACAGGGGTGCTGCTATTTTGATTCATGAATTAGATTGCTGCTAATTAAAGGGTCCCCACTTTGATTCTGGACTATGGACTATGCCAGCTGACTCAGATGCAACGAGATTACACTTAAATCATGAGGAATTGAAATGGGGGCTCAAATTTGCTGTACTGTGCCATTTCAGATGTAATTCCCCTTACACTGAGACAGGGCCGCTTTATTCAGAGGGCAAAGTGGGCATTTGCCCAGGGCCCATTGTCTGTAGAGACGCACATGAAGAGGGGGATGAAGCGTCTAGAACAGCAGCACCAGAAGATGCCTGGGAGCTGCCAGGGCTACTATGAGGGCAAGACCAGCCCTGGGCAGTGGTGCAAGGCATGCAGGTGGTGTTCCTAGCTGGTGAGCCATGGGGGCTGGATGGCGAACAGATGGTGCTCAGCTCCTTCGCGCACTACATCCTGCCCCCGACAGCCCTCCACAGCCTTGCCGCTGTGCCCAGGGAAAAGCCATGGGACTCTCCAGAGGGCGTGCCACCCTTTCTCTGCCTCTTCTCTGCTCCAAGGCCAGGCTGCGGCTACCATGGGCACCATTGGAGCAGCTGATCTTCTTCCTGTGCTGAGCGGTGTTGCTGCAGGAGATACACCTGCAGAAGGTGCTGCTGGACACTGCTGACTAACAAAGAAAAGGGCGCCCGCTTGCATCCCCTGGAGGTGCACACAGCCATATTCCCCCTGGCTGTCCCAACAGCATCCTGAAGCTCAAGCACCTCAGCAAGACCCGCCTCTTCTGACTGAGGTCAGGTGAGGAAGGGGGAAGACGCGTGGGGCACTCTGCTTAGGCTCAGAGGCACTCTTCTCACCAGCACCCTCAGTTGCGGGGGGGCGTACCTTCGAAGTTCCTGCAGCCCTCCGCCACTTCTCTTGCCTGAGCCTGGTGTCCCGCAACCTCACACAACTGGCAACCTCCCTCCTTCTCTTCCATGTGGGGCCTGCTCTGGATTGCAGCCTCAGCTTGTTCTGCATATAATGTGCACAACTCTTCCTCTTCTCCAGACATGTGCAGAGTGCCTCCAAGCTCAGCTTTAGGCTTCCCTTCCTCACCCCTCCCTCATAAGCTAGACTTTCTTTTCACTGTTATGTTGCTTATTTACCTAAGCATAGCTCAAGATTCCCTTAGTGAGTCAGCTTTATTTATATTACTTTATTCATGTTGTGTGACCTATTTAGCTGGGAGGCAAGGGAGAGGGAGGGATGAGGAAGGGGGGCCCACCAGAGCCTTGAATCACTCCTGAACTGATGTAACATATAAAAGAGAATTTCAGTCTACAATACAAAGCTTACAAGCATCTGTGTGTGTAGGCTAGGATACAAAGAATCCCTTAAGTAACTACGTATATGTATTTCTATGTATGCAATACAGTTTTTGCTGCTGCAATTTCTTAAGTCCGAGGAATAGGTTATTACTGTAGAGCCTGGAAACCTTTTTTTTTTTTTTAAAAAAAGAGGGAACTATGTTAGTTTGTTTCAATGAAAACAAAAGGAAAAGAAAAACAAGTATTGTGGCACTTTTAAGACTAACAAATCTACTTCATTGAGAGCTTTTGCAATCCATTTCTTCAGAGACAAGAAGTATTCAAAGTAGTGTGCCTAAAAAGTGGATTGTAATTCACAAAGGCACACAATGAAATGAATTTGTTCATCCTAAAGGTGCTCAAATATTTTTGATTTTATTGTCTTTATTCTTGTGTTTGCTTTTTGGATTACAGCTCCCAGAACGCCCCGGCCACCATGGTCAGTGGTATTTCTGAAGTCCAAAACCTAGCTTTCCTATCTCCTGTAATATATTTTGGGTTGTTTTCTAGAAAGAGACACCCCAGGACTCCTAAACTCTAGGCAGTGCCCTTTTCTACCCACAATCCCCCATTTAGTGATTTGGATCCTGGTTCTAGCTGACTTTGTTAAGCTTTGGAGTTGTTATACACAATGTACCTTACAAACCTTGTTAAACTGGCATCTCCTTTCTAAATATTTTCAACTGAATGTTAATTTGCACTGACTTCAACAGGAATTATTTTCTGGTAAGTACACTTAAATTACAGCTCATGTTACCCCCTTAAATGTATGTTCTTGTTGTTTTCTTATTTGAGATCTAGAATACTTGATTATTCCAAAAATACCATCTATTCAACTCCCAGGATGCAGTATTATACAGGAATGGTCTACAGGCTGCATGAGCAACTGCTAGTTCCCATGTTTGTCTCATACCTGTGGCTAAAGACATGGGACATCAGTAACTGACACAGAATTAACAGAAAACTCATATTTTGACTATCAGAACACTTACTGAAGAGGGCATTCTAACTGTATAGCTATAGCACTACCTTTTATATGGCATTTTATATTTCTTCAGCCATATTATAAGGTCAGTTCTTCTTGTTTTATTCCATAAAGCGTGAACAAGTCATTTAAATACATTAACTGATATAATTTAACATCAGGGCAATGCTTCTTCCTAGCATCACACGTCATACAAACGGTGTTACCTGAAGTTCTGATCAATGGATCTTAAGTGAAAATATCAGGGTTGCTTTTTTAAATCCAAAATCCATAGTTAACCCAACACCCTGTAATGTTTCCTTGCAATAAGGTGCTGAAAGCCAGTCACAGGAAGATTTGAGAAGTGTCTGTGAGACACCTTGCACAAACAGGCACATTAGGGAGGTAGCAAGGATGCTACATAGTAAATGCTAGATTACTTACACAATAAGTAGATGTTTCAGATGTATGCATACAAACTTCTTTTTTTTTAACAATAAACAACCCTATAATCCTATAATAGTGGTTGGATGTCCCAGTGAATCCAACTACCACAAAAATAACACCTGCTACCACTAATGATTTTTATGTCTGAATGTTTAATTTCATAATATAAAAGACAAGCCATAGAATGCCAAAGTTAAGAAAGAGAATTGCATATTTTTCACTTTCACACAAAATTAACTTACCACTATATCCTGTCAGTAAATGGGGGAATTTATTCTATTAGTTTCCAAAGAAATACAGCAAGATATTATTACAGATGAGACTGCTTCCTTCAAAACTATATCCCTGCATGATTTGCTTTCATTTTACTGCCATTAAGACTAAAGCAACAATGAACAGAAAACAGGTTAGATGCCATCTAAACTTTGCGGGTTAATATCAATATCCTTTGTTCAGTATCTCAGTTTTGTTTGCTGCAAACAAGTGTAACTATTTGTTTCCATTGGATAACTACAAGTTTGATCAACTACTTCATGTTAACCAACTTCAAATTTAGTAACATAATAATAGTAGTAATAAATGGATTCTAACCACTTTGTCCTCCTTTGGGAAAGCATCCAGGGAAGCAGAGAAAAGAGAAAAATATAAAAGAAGGAGGGGGGGAAGAAAGAGAAGGAAACCATTAATAAGCAGATATAAATAAGGCAATTCTAATGTTTCTATAAACAAGATTTACTGAACATAAATTTCATTCTAAAATTGAAAAAAAGTGTAGCTCCACATGCACAGAAAACACTTCACAGATATCAAAGTGTTTTTTTAAATTGGAAAATAAAGAAATCATAGTGGTACGAATACATCTGGATTCAGCATTCTAATGTTGACAGCATAACTGGGATTCAAAGAGCTGTAGGTAAAGAACTGTAATTTACTAGAGCTGCTGCAGACAGCCCTGCCCATGACATCCTCTCATTTCCTGAGAAAAGGAGATCAGGGAACAGGAACATAGCAAGATGTGCAGCTAACGGGGAAAATAGCTAACCCTTCTATTGGCAACCTGTTAACACCTACATGCAAGATTGACCCTATCAGGAAGCAGATGGAGTCAAGTGTTCCAGGTAACAGATGCTAGGTGGTAGCAGCTATCTATCCATTTCTCCTGGGCCCTCTTGATATTTCTGTTTGTTTGAGGACAGAGCTGTGTGTGCTCATAAGTCTGTCCTTTTCTGCTGACCCACTTAAACTAGCCTGCTGGCCTCCAGTGTGGCAGAAGATGGCATTCCACTGCCAGCAACCAACAGAAAGTCTGCTTGCTTTCTGAATGTGGAAGAGGGTGGTTGGATCATCTAATCCTCTGCCTCATCTTGGATAAATTCTGAACACATGAAAACATTTTTCACACACATACAAAGAGAGAGAGAGAAGGCTTTCGATACCAGCCACAGAATTTTAAGGGAGAGAGAGAGAGAGAGAGAGAAGGCTTTGGATATCAGCCACAGAATTTTAAGTGACCTAACACAGCATCTTATTGGGATGACATAGAATAGAGATGGGGTCGAAGCACCATGAATTGCCCTGCAGTGACTGGACGAACAAAGAATCAATTCATCATTCGTTGGGTGATTTCTAATTTTAAGGGACCTAACACAGCATCTTATTGGGATGACATAAAATAGAGATGGGGACGAAGCACCATGAATTGCCCCGCAGTGACTGGACGAACAACGAATCAATTCATCATTCGTTGGGTGATTTTTTTTTCTTTTCCTCCTCTTGCTATACATTGCGGGGCATAGCAAAAGGAGGGAAAGCAGGAATCAAAGCCATCCCGTGGCCACGCTCTAACACAGCATCTTATTGGGATGACATAAAATAGAGATGGGGACGAAGCACCATGAATTGCCCCGCAGTGACTGGACGAACAACGAATCAATTCATCATTCGTTGGGTGATTTTTTTTTCTTTTCCTCCTCTTGCTATACATTGCGGGGCATAGCAAAAGGAGGGAAAGCAGGAATCAAAGCCATCCCGTGGCCACGCTAAAGGCAGCACGGCTGCAAGATCGCTTTGATCCCTTTTCCCCTCTTTTTGCTATACCCCACAGGGGCATAGCAAGAGGAGGGAAAGCAGGAATCAAAGCCATCCTGTGGCCGCGCTAAAGGCAGCGCAGCTGCAAGATCACTTGGATCCCTTTTCCCCTCTTCTTGCTATGCCCCACAGGGGCATAGCAAGAGGAGGGAACGCAGGGATCAAAGCCATCCCGCAGCCAGGGGCTGGGGGAATCCCTTTGATCCCTTCCCTCCTCTTCTTATGCTGCACAGGTATAGGAAGAGGAGGAAGGGGGAACAAAGGCATCCCCCAACCCTGGGGGTGGGATGCCGTTCTGCCGGCTTTAGCAAGCCGCCTGACGGGAAAATCCATCTCTGCTTATGCCCCTGAGGAACAGCTGATCCTCAGGACATAAGCAGATAGGGGTAGATGAAGGATTTACTGCTGAAATCCAGAAGACGATATGGCAAAGATTTAATGTACATTTAAGCTTCAGGCTTATTTCCCACCACAGAACACACAAACACATACTTGCTAAATAAGGGAAGAGTAAAGTGCAATGCCATTTTAACCCCTTTGGCCCCACAGAACTAAGTCCCAAACTTCTATGCAAGATTTTTTAAAAACAATTTTTCTGCCTGTTCCTGCAAACCTCCTGGAGTAGTGTGTTTTTTTTTTTGAGGGGGAGGGGGAAGTTTGCTGCTGCCTAGCCACATCTACCCCCAAAAACCCAAACCCAAGTTCTCCTCCAGCACCACATTTCAAACATATCATTTTTTCCCTATCAGCTTTCTCTACTGTCCTGCTTTCACATCCATATATGGTGATCAGGATTACAAGAGTGTGAGTGATCTTGGCCTTGGCCTCCAGTGACACATCCTTACACTTGATGATCATTCCTTCATTGCTGTCCCTCCAAGTCTTAGCCTTCTTCCATTTTGTTGGCTGCAGTCTCCCTTTGGATTGATGACTGAACCAAGGTAAACAGAATTTGACAATTTCTATTTCTTCATTGGCAACATTAAGATTGTATAGTTCTGTAGTCATGATTTTTGTCTTCTTAATATTCAACTGCAGTCCTACTTTGGCTCTTTCTTCTTTCACTTTCCTTAAAGTCGTTTCAACTCACTGCTGCTTTCTGCCAGTGAGATGGTGTCATCTGTATGCATTAAATTATTGATGTTTCTTCCACCAATTTTCACTCTTCCATCTAAATCTAATCTGGCTTTTCATATGATATGTTCTGCATATAGATTGAACAGATAAGGGGAATAAAATGCATCCTTGTTTTCACAGTTGCCTATAGGAAACTATTCTGTATGTCCATATTCTGTCCTAATGGTAGCTTCTTGTCCACAAAATAGGTTACACATCCGGAGAATCAAGTGGTGAGACATTCTCATTTCTTTCACAAACAACCCATGTTGTAGATCCGCACAGTCAAAGGCTTTGCTGTACTCTACAAAAGACTGATCTTCTTCTGAAATTCTTTGGTACACTCCCGTAGGCAACAGATATTTGCAATATGATCTCAAGTAACTTCCTTTTTTAAAATTGATTTTGAACATCAGGCTTTTCTCCCATTGCATAAGGTTAAAGTCTTTGTTTCAACACCTTGAGCATCACTTTGTTTGCATGGGAAGTTAAAGCAATGGACCTATAGTTACTGCACTCCTTGGCATCTTCTTTTCTTGAGGATTGGAATGTTCATTAAAGGTTGCCAATTTGTGAGCCATTATTTTATTTTCCATATATATATTTTTTGGCCCATTCTTCTTAAGATTTTAACAGATTCTGTCTCTGTGGCTTGAAATACTGTAGCTCTATTGATATTCTATGTACCCTTTATGATTTATTTCTTCCCAGCGCTTTCAAGGTAGCTTTCATGTCACTTTCAAGAATTGCAGGTTCTTCATCATATGCTTCCTCTTTAAAGGAGTCTATCATCCTTTTCTCTCTTCTGTATAGGTGTTCAGTACACCAACACGACTAAACGACTAAACACACATCATCCTTTTCTCTCTTCTGTGTAGGTGTTCAGTATACCGTTTCCACCTCCTCTTTATTTTCTCCTGGTGCAACACTTCTGGAAATGAAGGATTGGTTGGCTGCACACTATTGCCCAGGGGATTCCTGAGTGTACTCACAATACTTTCCCATTCCTTCTATACCACTTTATCTTAGACAAATATGTATGGTGCTTCTCTGTTGGTCATTAAGCATTCTTAATCTAGCCTTACAGTTCTTCTTGATTTCTTGGATTTTCTGGATGAGATCCTCTCTATTTCTTTGCACTGGTTACAGTAATGGTTCTCTTTGACTCCATGTGACAGTTACTGAAAAACTGCTTTCATGATTCTGACCCTATTTCTGTCACATCTATTCCTTATGTGGAGTCTAAATTCATCAGGAATGTTGTTTAAATAATATTTTGGCACTACATTTCTTATAATACTCTTTTTCAGCATTACTCTATTTTAACAGTTCACAATCAGTACCACAATCCACTCCTGGTCTTCTTTTGACAGAGATAATGCAGCTTCTCTATCTCCTGTTTCCAATCTAGTTGATTTCTATATTGACCACCAGGTGATGTCCATGTGTACAGCCATCCATTCAGTTGCTCGAAGCATGTATTTGCAATAAATAGGTTATTGGCTCTGCAGAACTCTGATTTGTTCTCTTGATTAATTTCTGTCCCATAGGCCTGCTTTGTTCCCTACTTTTCCATTCCATTTACCTTTGACTATAAAGCATGTCTTGTTTTGGTGTGTGATCTATTTAATCTTAAATACTTGCATAAAAGCTTTCAATTTCATTTTCTTCAGTATTGGTCGTTCAAACATAGACTTGAATGATGGTTATGTTGATAGGTTTTCCATGAAGTCTGATTGATATTATTCAGTCATATCCAACTTTATGGCCCCAACTGTCTCTACTACATCCTGTCTCAGTATTAGAGCCACTCCATTTCTTTTGGGTCTGATATTTCTAGAGTAGAATACCTTGCAGTTGTCTGATCAAAAATATCCCATTTCAGTCCAGTTTAATGCACTGCAATGTTTATATATCCATTTCTTGGTTTAAAGTTTGCAGTTTACTTTGATTCATACTTCTCATGTTCCATGTTCCAACTCTATGTATTATATTATATATTTTTTGCAGCATTGGACTTTCATTTCTGTGCACATCAGCCCTAGATATTGTTTTGGCTTTCATCCAGTTCTGTCATTAGCAACAGAGCCATTCATACTTGTCCTTTGATCTTCCCCAGTAAATGACAGAATGCTTTCCAACCTGGGAGTCTCATCTTCCAACACTATCTCTTGTTTCACTTTCAACTGTCTCGTCATAGGACTTTGTGGTAAGGAAAGTTCAGCAGGGGTTTGCCATTGCCACATTCTGCACACTACTAACAAAAGTTAATTGGAGAGTAACTGTTGCTGCCGGTGTCACCTTCAGTTACTGCTGCTGTCCAGTAGCTGCCTTGAAGAGGGTGGGTGCATCTCAGTCAGGTGTCTCAGCTGCGACCATTCCACCTTAGTGCCTCTGTAGGAATTCAGACTCATAATGAAGTCTGGCCTCCTGACAGCATTGCTCTCAGCTTCACTGACTCACTCAAACCTCTTCACCACATTAAGATGTGCATCCAAGAAAGGGTCTTTAACTGTAGCCAGCTGCAAACTATGAAATTTGCTGGGGATATTTTTCTTTTCCTCCACCTCCACTCTGCCTACTGTGCAGTAAGCCGTCGCAGTCAACAGCCACTATGGAATGCAGAGGCTAATCGTTTTTAGCAAGAAAAGATGACTTTCTGCATATTCCAAACATCAGTTATCCATGTCAGTTTCTCGAAGTGCAAATGGCCCACTCTCCAAAAAGAAAAGTTCTCATCCAGGACTTCTTACGAACCAAAATGATTTCTCAGGCCTTGGTCATTGTTGGAGGAAGTGCAAGCCCCCTACTGGGCAAAGGGATATGAACAACTTTATGTGCCTT